TTTGTTAGCTCAGAGTATGGTAAATTTCATCCTGACTTATTGGTGAAAAATCATCCTAAGATTTTTTTCTTCCAGTAGGAAAATATGTAGAGGACTCCTGGGGTGGATGCTCCGCAGGTATGTGGCAAAGGGAGAGCACGGTTGTTCTGTGTCAGAAGGGACCACTGAAGAATTTGGGCCTTGGGGCAGTCCTATAATGTGCATCAAGGTATCCTCTCGGATCCTCATTTTCTGCATGTCCGATGTGGGTTCCAAACGGAGGGTTTTCTGTAAATGTTAAATGAGGTAATGCATGCAGAGTCCTGCGGGAGCCCTCCCAAGGGTTAAGAATCCAATAAATGTCAGCTTTTATATCATTATTATTACAGAGGATCTTTGTGTGTTTATATTTTATCTGTGAAAAAGAGTTAGATTTCTTGGAGGGAGCAGTAGGTCTCAGGCCTCCCTGGCACGTGCCGTCTCTCAGTTCTAAGAAGGGATGTTGTCTCCCCACAACTCGGAGTTGGTCCAGGGAAGAGCTGGTTAGTGGGGCAGAATGGAGGAGAAACCAGATAGTTTTAGCTTGTTCTCCCTTCCTATGTAGTTTCAGAATGGCTCGTATCTTATGAATTCCGCAACCAGCAGACCCACCCCAAGTGAATTACTCATGTCCAGTTTTTTCTAAGTTCAATAATAGTAACTGTGATCATGATAATTATTATTCTTTTATCTACATGACTGTGCCATACGGTAGCGCAGAAAACTGAGGCTGGCTCAATGACCACTGAAAAGAAGAAATCTATCAGGAGTATGATTGCTGTGAACTTCATGTTCACGTCTCTAAATTCCTATGAGGAAATCCTAGACCCAGTGGTATCAGAGGAGGGGGTAGATCATGAGGCTGGGGCCCTTGTGATGGGATTAGTGCCCTTATCAAACAGACAGGAGAGAGCTTGTTTCCTTTTTCTCTACTCACCACTGTGTGAAGACATAAGAAAATGGCTATCTGAAAACCAGAAGAGCAGCCTCTTACCAGGACCCAGCCCTGTTGGTACCTTGCTCTGAGACTTCCAGGTTCCAGGACTGAGGGAAATAGATATTTGTTGTTTAAGCCACCCATTGTATGGAAAAAAGACAAAGGAAGTGATCATTCAAACAATGAGAGCTTTGTTGTCCCTCTTGACTCAGCTCCCCTTCTCCCCATAGCAAGCTGCTGTTTACACCCCATAAATAAGCAGCTGGTCTGGAATAAGGAGAGGCACAGACTTCCCACTCATCTGCTCTCTGCGTGGATGAAGACTCTAGACTGACCTAAGGTCCATGGAGAGACATCTCACAGAAGGAGAGGTTAGTCCACTAACATGCAGAAGCAGAAGTGCCCAAGAAAGCCTGAATCGCGTCGTGCCATCCTCACCAGGTCGTGCTGGAAGCCCACAGTCCTGCGCTCTTTATTGAGTGACAGTCATCAGGGTCAGCTGGTGTAGACATATTCTGTTTCTGAGTCTCAGAGCAAACTTTCATGGTCGCTGTGTTGTCCCCCTTTTGTAGATGAGGTGACTGAGGCCTGAGGCTCACAGCTGATAAGCAGGAAAGCCAAAATTTGGGTTCTAGATCCTGCATTTTCACCACGGAGCTATTTTTACGGCATGATTGTTGGGAAAGCACTTAACCTTTTGTGAGGCTCAGTCCCTCCCAGCAAAACAGGTAAGAATTTGATCTCACAAGAAACAGAGGGAAAGATGTTCAGATCAGGGAGATGCAAACTAAAACTACAATGAGTTAATACCTCACTCCTGTTAGGGTGGCTGTGAACAAAACAGTGAGAGACAAAAAGATTTAGCAAAGGGGACCCCTGTCCACTACTGGTGGGAATGTAAATTGTGCAACCACTACAGACACCAGCATGGAAGATTCTCAGAGAACCAAAAAATAGAGCTACCATCTGCTGGGTATACAAAGAAAGGAAATGGGATTAGTCTGTCAGACGCCTGTACTGCCATGTTCTTTACAGCATTATTCAAAACAATGAATAACCAAAGTGTGGAATCAACTCTAGTGTCCGCCATCAGAACAATGGGCAAAGAGTGTGGTACATACACACAATGGAATGCAACTCAGCCTAAAAAAGAAAGAATGCTGTCATCTGTAACAGCATAGATGAACACGGAGGACAGTACGCTAAAGGAAATAAGCCAGCCACAAAAAGATAAATACCTCACGATCTCACTTACCTGTGGAATCCATAAAAATAGAGAGTAGAACGGTGGTTGTCAGGGGCTGTGGCCCGGAGGGGGGTGTCCAGGGAATAGGAAGGTGCTGGCCAAAGGCCAAGTTACAGCTAGAGGAAGGATATGTGTTTGCGAGGGATTGCACAGGGTGGTGATTATAGTAAATAATGTGTACTTAGGGAGAACAGGTGTAAGGGAGGCAATGGGGGGTGGGTATGATCGAAATATACACATTGAAGCCTGATAGTTTTTAAAATTAACAGGCACTAATGAAATAGTATATTAAAAATAACATTACATACTTCAGGAATTGCTAAGAGTAAATTTCAGATGTTCTCAACACAAAAAATTAGTAGATGATGCCATAAGTCTGCTAATTAACCAGTCATTTCACCGCGCATCAAAACATCACGTTGTCTCCGCATAATTATATACAATCATTATTTGTCAATTAAAACCTTTAAAAATAAAAATATTATTTAAAAATATACTCAGTGTCATTAGTCATCAGGGAAAAGCAAATCCAAACCACAATGAGATGCCACTTCACGCTCCCTAAGCTGGAAACACAGTCACAGGTATTGGTGGCTACGTGGGGACTAAGAGCCTCATGGATTGCTAGTGGGAATGTAAAATGGGTCAGTTTCTCTGGAAAATAGTCTGTTATTTCTTGAAATATTCAACACAGAGTTACTATAGGACCCAGCAATTCCAGCCCTAGACATATATGCGAGAGTGCTGAAAGCATATGTCCACACAATTTGTTCACAGTGTCCAGAGCAGCATTACTTATAATAGCAAAAGGTGGACACAACACAAAAGCCTATCGACTGATGAATGGGTAAACAAAATGCAGTGTGTCCCCGCACTGAAATATTATTTGGCAGTAAGAAGCAATGAAGTCCTGGCACCTGATGGAACACAGATGAGCTGTGAAAACATCACACCGAGAGAAGGAAGCCACTCACAAAAGTACGCTGCACGATTTCCCTGTGTGCGTGTACAGCTTGGACAAATCCATAGAGACAGGAAGTGATTAGTGGTTGTCTGGGGCTGGGAGGGAGCCAAACGGGGGAATAACTGCTAATGGGGACAGGGTTTCTTTTAGGGGTGATGAAATGTCCTGAAATTATTGATCACAGTTGTACAACATTGTGAATATACTAAAACCCAGTGAACCGCATGCTTTGAAATGGCGAACTTTATGGTATGTGAATGGTATCTGAAAAAAATCAATGAATGTTCAGTGAGGAAAATAAGAAAAGAAAGAAACAAAAATAGCATCTACAGCACTGGGAGACAATCACTGTTCTGATGTAGGTCCTTTCGGGTTCTTGTGCAAATATATACATTCTGAAAAAATAAAATGGGATCATCCAGATCATACAGGCTAGTGACATTTCGTTTTTGTACTGCTGTCGCTCTCTTCTCTACAGTAAGAATCATCGGCAGTTTGTCTCCCTCGGGCTCCCAGACGTCTTGCCTTTCCACATTTCTCTGCCAAGCCATGTGCCTTCTCTTCCCACCTCTCTTCTTTTCTAGGACTTGCCAAACTGATTTGCTCCCAGTGGACTTCCAGTGCTTAGTTTCATGATTTGCCCTAAGTTAATGATATTTTGTAATCCTATGATTCTCAAGGAATTGAGTCCTGAGTCCCTGTTTTTACCTTGGCCTCTGTTCCATACACTAGTCCTGCATCTGTGAATCCCTGTGGGAAAATTCCCCTTGGATATTCGCCATCACTACTGCAGCGGTTTAGTTGAGTGACCTTTAAAGGCCCAAGCATCAAAGCTCGGTCCTCAGCATGGTGCTACCGTAGCGGGAGGTGTGGAACCATGAACAGGTGGGCCCACTGGGAGGTCCTCTGGTCATTGGGGTGCCCCCTGAAAGGGGACAGTGGGACCCCAACCCTTTCCTCTTTCCCTTTGCACCCCAGTCATGAGGTAAACAAGCTGCACCCTGCCAAGTGCTTTTGCCATCATGTCCTTCACCACAGGCCCCATAATCAAGATTATGGACTGAGCCTTCAAAAGTGTGAGCCAAAGCAGATCTTTGCAAGATGATCTACCGAAACAGGAAGCTGGCAAACACAGCAACATTACTGAATGGCTAACATCAAACTCATTGTTTTGGGTGCCACAGCCCGGCACAGGGCACCATGTGCTGGATTTTGAATCTTGACACGGAGTTTATGCCTACATTGAAACTTTCTGATTCGAGCCAGGGTTTGTGGGAGCCATAAACCCACTCTGGCTAACTTGGAAAGAACTGTACACGGGACATGGGGTGGCTCACACAGGTGGGAAGCCAAGCTGGCAGCAGCTTTGGAAAGGGGCAGGAAACGGGGCTGCCTAGGAGGGACCAGAGCAAGGCTGGGCCCTGAGCACAGCGCTCAAGACTGCGGGGGTCCTGGCTTCCTGGAGGGCTGCGGTGCCCACGCATCCCTGGTGGGACGGGTCATGCTCCACACGTCAGCCCTAAGTATAACAAGAGGAGCTGGGTGCAGGCAGCATGAAGAGAAATAAGCATGGTGCATCTTGTTTGGCCTTGGTTTTCTTTTCTTTTCTTTTTGTGTAGGAGTATCTTATCATATTAGGCCTTGGCTTTTGTAACTAAGATGTGGTTCGTAAGAATTTTCCCGCCCACCTCCTGGAGTTGGGAGGACGACAGGATCGGGGAGATAACTGTACGGCAGGAGGCGGCCCACGGGTGCACGGTGCATTTACAATCAGATGAGGTCTTCCTTCCAGCCTTTGTTCTATGCCTAACCATTTATTCCTGCTTTTTTCTCAGTGCCTTCAGGGCCCCAGTGACGCCGTGGTGACCACGTGCCTGTAACAGGTAACCCCTGGCTCCACGTCACCCACGCCCACTTGCACAGCTGCTCAGCGCCCTCCTGTGCCCGCGTGCCTCCACACTCCCCCGTGTCCCCATGGCCTCTTATGCCTCCGTGTCACCCGTCAGCTGCCTGCACAGTCCTTGCACGCCTCTGACTCCCTCCGGTGCTTTTATTTACCTCCAGAGCCTTGCTACACCCCTCGGTGCCTCACCACCCACTCCTTCACTTTCCTTCTCCCCATTTCCATTCCCATCACCCTTGGGCTCTTAGAAGTCAGCCCTAGAAGGAAAATCAGTAGGTCCCACACTTGGGCTCACCGGCTCGGTGGTGAAACCTCACGGCGTATTCATAACACCACCTGGAGCACAAGTCCTGGAGAAAGCACAAGTTCTGTAGCCAGGTAAGCCGGAGAACCCTGCCTCCAATCCCTCTAGATGGGGAGTCCTGCCGGTGAATAGCTGTGACACTGTCCACCTCGGGATTCCGAAGAACTAAGAGACTGCAGGTGTCTTTTCTTTCTCACCAACAGCTATGAAAACCCTACAGGACTCTTCTGAGAAGCAGACACCGGGAGAGTTAGCATTTCAGATTTCTTTATGTCAGTTGCCATGGTCTTCTACCACACGGCTCCAAGCTTCGTTCCCTACTATGCCTCCATGTGTCCTCCAGCTTTCCAAAAGCCTCCCGCCCTTCACGACTGCAGACCTCAGAGGTGCTGCCCCTTCTCACTGGCCACTTGGCTGGGCCGACCGCCATCCTTGCCCCTGCCTGTGCACGCTCTCTTCAGTCACCAAGACTCAGCTCAGCTCCTCCCTCCTGCACAGGGCCTCCTGGTGAATCTCCATCCTGGGAACTACCAATTTTGTTGGCTGTCTGGTACTCCCCTTTGGAAAACACCACATCATTCCTTGCGGTCTTGTTCCACAGAGTTCCTGAAGCTTCTGTGTCCTCAATAATTCTCGAGGGCTTATGTTGTGACTCCTCATTTAGCCCTAGGACACAGGGAGCATATCCCAGGTTCCCTCAGTCCCCTGTCCTGGTGCAGGGCCCTGTACACGGTAGGCGCACAATAGGTAACTGTCAGTTTGAATAATGTTTTTTGTGTTTTAATCTTTCTCCAGCTGGTGTTACCTGGCTGGGCTGGTGGCCATGGGACTCAGTCATCTGGAGGGCAGAGTGGTGCTCAAGGCCGCGGAGTGGTTAGAGCCCTCCAGAGTGAGCTCCAAGGGGAGGGAAGCGAGGGCTCCAGAGGGAACTGGAGCTGAGAATGGGAACTGAGAGTCCCAGCTTGTGGCCTGAAGGACGAGGCCCTGGCTCTAACTCCCCCGTCCCTGTGGGCCTCAATCCCTGACAGAGAGTTGAGGGGCTGAGTGTCAGACTCTCCACAGCAACTGCTGACTGACCGTGTTCCCATCGAGTGACCTGAGTCTACAGGTTGCCTGGGTCCAGAGGCTTCTACAGTGTCACTCAGACCTCGACAAGCAAGTGGAAGGGAGTGAAGCCATCACAGGAACAACTGCAAATCTGCTCCCGTTCATCAAGGGGGGAATTCCTCCCTCGTTATTCGTAGTCACAAAGCACGCATGATCCGTTCATGGCTCCACAGCTATGCCTTCACCATGTCTGCCAGCTCTTCCAGGGTGCTGGCATCACCAGGATCGTCCGGAGGGCCCAGCCACAGAGCGTGGTCAGTAGGACTGGCACAGGGATCGAGACCCTGCTTCTCTGACGAGTTTCCAAGTGATGCTGATTTTGCTGGCCTGGCGGCCACCCTTGAAGAACACTGTTCAGGGTCTCCCTTACTCCAGCCCCCAGCCCTGGTTCCTGAATCAAATCTGTCCCTCCCGAGGTGGGCCTGCTTGGGGACTCCAGTGGCTTCACCAGTGGGGTTGCTTGATGTCCATCTCAGTCTCCCCCATTCTTTCATTGGAAAAATGGACAACGGAGACTGAGGAAATGCAGGAAAAAGGTACCAGAGCCACGGGCGATCGATGTGGTCGTTGTGACCCCTCACTCCCTCCTGCAGTGATTCTGCTACATTCTCTCTGCGGCATCTGATGAAGAATCTGCTGTCGGTTTGAGGACACTACCTGCTACTTCCCAGCCTCTTTTTGGGATCAACTGGGGATACTTCAGATAAGACGCTTCAACTAACATCGTTACAACAAGGCCTGGCACGTAACAAATACCCAACACATTTACTGAGATGCCGCCCTGGGCTTAGAGATTGGAAGCCGAGTGCTTACCCCAAATGTTTGGGCTCGGATCCTGGCCGTGTTCACTGTCAGCTGCGTGACTTGGGCAAGTTATCCGAGTTCTCGGTAACTCGGTCTCCTTGCCTGTACACTGGGGTTGATAATAACAGTGTGTCCAGGAAAACAGAGATGAACTGAATTCCTGTCTGCAAAATCCTTATGTCCATGTCTGCCTCCTAAGAAGCACTGGGTAAATATGACTCAGTGACTGTGCAAACAGGAGCAGAGGGTGCTGAGAAGGCTGACCACACAGGCCGGGCCCTCTCCGGGGTTCTGGGCGCTTCTCTCCACCACCGAGGCTGCACTGAGAGGCAGAACACTCGGTGTGGGTGTGCATGTGCGTGTGGGAGCTGGGTGAAGCCCATCGTGTCCACCTCCCTAGCTCTGGCCAGAAGAAGCCCTCTTAGCTTTGCCCCCGTGAAGTGGGCCTGCTGATAGCAGCTGCTCCCGCAGGGTGGGTCCCGGGACGGCCTGTGTGAACCGCAGGAGGAGACCACAGGGCGGGGGCGGGTGGCCACTGTGTGTCCCACGCAGGTAGCCATGAAGCATGGAGCTGGCGCCTGGATCAGGCTGGGCTCGTAAACTTGTTTTTCCAAAGCACCACACCTGTCAGGCCCAGGCCGAACGGCGCAGGTGGACAGAAAGCCTCTGAGAGTGGTCAGTGCCTGGACTCGGGGTCCAACACCCTCATGTGCCAGTTTTCTTGCATTTTTCTCTAAATCCCAAAGGCCCTGATGGCACTGGTTTTTGAACCAGTGTGTCAAATGCACTTACACCGCCAATGGGTTTCTTCTTGTTTAGCGACTCATGCATTTTGTATGAAGCACCATCTCCAGTTTCCTTTCGGGCTCTGGAGAGGATGTCCTGCTCCTGTTAGGATGCAGGATGATTCCTTTTTGTTTTTTTGGTACCAGGATCGAACTCAGGTCCTTGCACTTGCGAGGCAGGCAGCGGAACCACTGAGCTAAATCCCAGGCCCTGGATGATTGTTTTTTAAAGCAGGAACCTCCAGAGTCCGGCAGATGGGTTCACTGTGCATATTATGGACATAGCAAGGGCCTGGAGCTGACGTTTTCACTGGGGCTCATCTGATACTTGAGAAACCTGCCTTGCAAGAATTTCAAGATATTTCAGGGTTTCATAGCAGCACCCAAATCATACACATTACATATATATGCATATATACACCACTGAGCCTGTTCTTTTACAATTATTTTTCTTTTTAAAAATGACACTGGGCCGGGGATTTAGCTCAGTGGTTTCGCCACCTGCTGCACAAGCACAAGGACCCGAGTTCGATCCCCAGTGCCAAAAAAAAAAAAAAAAAGATACATATTTCCTTTTAGAAAATGTAAAGCATACAAAGAATTTTTTCAAATCACATGGAATTCTACCACTCAAGAGATAACCACCGTTAGCAGCAGTGTCCTGTTCTTCTCCTGTGGGTGCCCATTTCTTTTGCAAAGTGTGATCAGGCTCATGTTCCATTTACACAGCATCTGTAACTTTTTAAAGCTGTAGGTGGCTAGGCTGTGCATATGTATTTTTTGGACATGCTATAATTAGCCTGCATTTGTCCTTACAACTGAAAGTATAACTAGCCTGATGAAAATACAGGTGCTTCTAAGCTGGGCGTGGTGGTGCACAACTGTAATTGCAACACTTTGGAGGCTGAGGCAGCACCATTGCCCTGAGTTTAAGGCCAGCCTGGACTGCATACAGAGACCCTGTCTTGGGGGTGGGGGAAGGAGCGATGGAAGGAGGGAGGGAGAGAAGGAGGGAGCTGGGCACCGTGGTGCATGCCTGTGATCACCAGCTGAGGCGAAAGGATTAAAGTTCCAGCAGCCGACAACTCAGGGAGACGCTGTCTCAAAGTGAGAGAGGAGGGAAGGGGTGGCAGAGTGGGGTCGCAGCTCTGTGCAAAGGCCCTGAGTTTGTTCCTCGGTACTGCAAAAAAGACCAGAAAAAAAAGGAAGAATGGATCTGTAGCACGTATTGCTTTGTGACCTGCTTTTTTTCAATTAACTGACTGCAGATCTCTATGAATACCATTTAAAGTGGCTACACAGGATTTCATTTTACTGCTGCTTTACAATTCAAATTATTATACACTGCTTTCCTTTTGTTGCTATTCAAGCCTCATCGTGATGAATGCCCTGCGCTTGATCTTGGGCCAATCTCTGATTGCTTCTTTAAGACAAGTCCCTTCAGGCAGAACTGCTGACTCAAACTCTATGCAAAGTTCTGAGTAATCATGATCCACCTTGCCAGAGTGCCCTAGAAATACCGTGCCAAATTAGCACGCCAACAGGGGAGGGTCCAACAGTTCCCTTCATGACAAGACACCATTGCTGCTACCTTGGTTTTAACTTTCTGTCAGTTAGATACCTAAAATATTTCATATTACCATTTTAATTTGTACTTCTTGGCCTAATTTTAGCACTTTAATGTTCAATTGGACATTTATAATAAATAATATTTTAAAACATTTATTTTACAAATATTTTTATTTGCTGTTTAATTTTGTAAATTTTTGACGTATTTAAAAATTTTACTGAATAAAGTGAATTAACTTTTACCTGATAATTTCTCTCTGTGGTGTTGTATTTGCAAAACGCTCTCTCCTCCTGCTCATAGGAAGATTAATTTAAATTTTCTAGTATTTTTATGATTTTATTTTACTAAAATCCTTGAAACATTTGGGACTATATGCCATAGGAAGTGGGAGGTTCTAAATTCTATTATTATTCTTACAACAGCTTTATTGAGATAGAACTAACAGACCCTAAACCCACCCTTTTAGAGTGTGCAGTGTAGGGTTTTAGGTTGTATTTAGGGAGTTACACCACCATCAGCATTACCTAATGTCAGGCATTCTCTCAGTCCAGAAAGAAACGCACACCCATTCCCAGTTGCTCCCCAGGATCTGCCACCCACCCTCCCAGCCCTGGGCAGCCATAAATCAGTACTTTCCCTCTCTGTGGAGTTGTTTATTCTGACATTGTACATAAGTGGAATCACACAATGAGTGGTCTTTTCTGACTTGTTCTTTTCACTTAGCATAGTGATTTCAAAGTTCATTCATTTTTATCATTTTTTTTTTTTTGGTACCAGGGATCGAACTCAGGACCCTGTACTTGTGAGGCAGGTGTGGCACCACTGAACTAAATCCCCAGCCCGGTATTTCACTGATTTTTATTGCCAAAAATAATGTTCCATTGCAGAGATATACCACATTTGGTTTATCTCTTCATCAATGGAGAGGCAGTGGAGTTATTTCCAATTTTTGGCTACTATGAATAATGTTGCTATGAACACCTGTATACAAGTCTTATGTGGCTGTATGTTGATGGTTCCTCGGGATACATCTAGTATTGCTGGAGTATATGGTAACTGTGTTTAGTATTTTCAGAAACTGCCAAACTGATTAACCAAAAGCCTGACTACTTTATATTCCCACCAGCAGTGTGAGGAGGGTCCCAACTTTTCAACAGTCCTGTGGGCATTTGTCATTGCTTTTTGTTTTGCTTTTGTAGTACTGAGAATTGAGCCCAGGGCCTTGCACAGGCTAGGCAAGCATTCTACCACTGAGCTACATCCCAGCTCTTCTATTTTATTTTATTTTATTTTATTTCAATAGAGTCTCATTAAGTTCCCCAAGCTGACCTCGAACTTCTCATCCTCCTATCTTGGCCTCCTGCATAGCTTCGTCTGTTTTTGATTGCAATATCCTGATTGTGAGGTGATATCTCACTTTGCTTTGCACTTCTCCGATGACTCAAGATGTTGAGCTCTGCTTGTGAGTGTATTGGCCTACGGATCATTTGCATATCTTTTCTGGAGAAAAGTCTGTTCAAATCTTTGGCACGTTTTTAAGTTGGGTTGTCTATTTTTGAGTTGTAAAAGTTCTCTGTCTTCTGGATGCAAAACTGTATCAAATATGTGATTTACAAATATGTTATGCCATTCTGTGAGTTGTCATTTACTCTTAGGATCCTCTGAAGTACAAAAGTTTTTCACTTCCAGGTTGTCCAATTTGCTCTTTTGATTTGTCAAGTTGTGCTTTTGTGTATGTCATACTCAAGAGACTGTTACGTGACCCAAGAACATGAAGATTTACTGCTATATTTTCTTCTAAGAGTTTGATAGTTTTAGCTCTTCCATGTAGGTCTACGCTCCATTTGGAGTTCATTTTTGTGTAAGTCTGGCTTTATTGTTTTATAAATGACCAGCAAATACCCTCAGGGCCACTTACTGAATAGTCACCCTCCCCAATTAAAATGGCACCTGTGGTATCAGCAGCTAGTTGTTTCAGTGACCACTCTCCTCTCCCTTATAGAAATAGAATCAAAGTTTTAACTAGGCACAAGGCCACCCAGCTTCTTTGCTGTGAGGTGCAGCCATCTGTCCAAGCTTTGGCTAGTGGAAAGGAAGTACGCAAGCCCTAGATAAAGAATGCCTTCCCCTCCATTAACCTTTTCTTTTTCCCAGCAGCTTTGATACAGACTTAGGCTTGTGGGAGCCAGCTTTGACCATGCGCACATGGGCATCTCCTGGGGGCGACCGAACAGCAAGACAGATCACACCGGTTTTCTGGATGACCACCACCCACACATGCAGCTCTGAGCTACTATGAGTCAGAGGGGAAAAACTGTGTTTCACTGGAGCCACTTTATTTTGTGTAACTATATACATGTTATATAGATCAGGGTTTTCTGTATGTCTATTCTTGTACTGTAGCCACAGCTTCCATTTCTGTAGTTTTATAATATGTTTTAGTTTTTGGGACAAGGTCGAACCATGTAGTTCAGACTGGCCTTGAATTCACAGTGATCCTCCTGCCTCAGCCTCCCAAGAGCTGAGATTACAGACCTGTGCCACCACACCCAGCTTAGCTTTAGAGTGTGTTTAACTGGGGGGGAGGAGAGAGCAATAAGTCTCTCTCACATTTTTTTCTTTTTTTTTGGTACCGGGATCGAACTCGGGTCCTTGCACTTTTGAGGCAGGCGGCGGAGCCACTGAGCTAAATCCCCGGCCTGTCTCTCACATGTTTTAAACCATCTTTTGGATTTTCTCCTGTGTTCAGTATTTCAGATGAATTAAAACTAACGTTGTCAGCTTCTGCCTGAGTGGGTTCATTTTCTGAAGCTGTAGGTTACCCTAGGCGACAGCCATAACCACACGGCCATGGTGCCTGCAGTGTCCGGATCTGCCAAGGTTACGATGTGCTCAGATCCCGGGACTTGGGGCTCTGCCCCACTGCAGCTAGGCAGACTGACAGCGGCGGGTAGTTCCCAGGAACACCAACGGTGATCGGGTTGATGGGGACAGACACACTTGAACAGTGTACTGCACAAATCATGGGTATGAGCAGAAATCTTAATGAGAGCCAGAGCTGCCCAAGCTATTTGTGCAGGAGTGGAGGAAGGTGCATTGCTTGACATGGGGAAATGTTTCTCCTAAGGAGGACACGCTCTTAGTGTGCCCATCACCAGAGGGGGATGGTAGCAGGGGGCTGTGAATTGAGTCATTTCTGGTTTTCCCTGTCTAGTGGTTAGAAACACATCACTTTTGGAGGGTACTTAATTTGGTAACATGGAATAAGTGCCCTGTAAAATGTATTCTCTCTTCCTCCATTGTTGAAATATAGCAGAAAGTAGTTTTCCTAGCAAATACGCAATTGGTCCGTCACTTCATTGAAACAATTTAGGGTGCTCCATTTCCCTCGTAAAATTGATTTTCTCTCTGTGTTCACATCGAGGGCCTCCACCTTTGGATCCACTCCAGCTCGAGCAGGAGGGTGCACAAACCAGAAGCAAAGAGCACACTGCCATCAGCTGCAGCTTTGGAAAGCACTGAAAAGGAATGACCTAAAATAGATTAGTTTCCAAGCTTAGCTTTAAAGCATTCTTTGCTTTCCTAATGAAGAGATCAAAATGTTCAAAAATAAAACAAAGAGGCCTTTAAATATCAACTCTGTGTTATCAGGATGTGTAAAGTATACTGGTTAACAGCTCACCTGAGCTGTTTCTAGCTTACTTTTTACTTTACTGTGTGTCAAGTGTATCTCTAGATGTCCCCCTCAAAGCCTTGTGCAGCCACAGGTGCAGTTTATTCAGAGGTTTCAGAATCTAGAGCGTGTGACCGCAGGACAAGGGTGTGGTACTAAATCAGTCCACTGACTGGGTCTGGCACAGTTCTGGGTGTGAATGCTCCTTCCCCTAAAGGCAGGCAGCCTGGAAAAGATGTAAGGGACAGAAAGAGGGCTGGTGTCATCACTTGTCCCTGCTTCTTGCTGCCTTCTGCCTGCCCTGCTTTGCCATGGACTGTTGCTCCTCTGTGATGCCCCTCTGCCATGTCACCCTGCCTTGGAACCCGCCGACTATGAACTGAAACCCCTGCAAACTGTGAGCCAAATACTTTAACTTTGGGTATTTTGTCTCAGCAACAAGAAAAGTAACTAAAACACTATGATTCCTTGAATGTTCTTTTAATTTCACTGATAATAAAATGGCAATAAACAATATACAGGGCGGGGGGTGTAGCTCAGGGGCAGAGTCCTTGTCTAGCATATGTGAGGCCCTGGGATCAGTTCCCAGTACTGCAAAACAACAAATATATACACACGTATTTGCTGATGTGTATATATTATAAACATACACACACATATTTGTATATATGTGTATTATTTTTGAGAACAATGGTCAGTTTCATGCATTCTGAGTTACAAAATACAAGAGGAGTTGATCTGTGTAGACTCACAGCACTGGCCCAACTCCTTTGCTAGGAAACACTCAGGGAGCACAGCTGGTCTTCGGGCCATCAAGTGTTCCAGCTTCCCCACTATTCATGAAGGGAGAGGGCGGGTGGTTGGGGAAAAGGGAAGCGCACGTGGTGCCCTACTCTAGACGAGATGGGGATGGCTGTGGGATACGGGACTGCTGGAGTATCAGCTCTGTGTCTCAGTCCCTCCCCGGGTCTGACTGTCCCAGGGCTTCCGGCACTTCTGGTGTCAAGGGAGCTTAGTGTGGCACTGGCTGGGCTCTTAGATCTCTGCAGGGCGCGGCACTGGGGCTGACGGGAGAAGGGCAGTTACCTCCTCGGACAAGCAGGCTGCATGTTAATGCAAACCTCATTTAACCCTGCAGCCGGCCCTCTGCCATGAGGAAGAGCTCCTGAGAGCATTTCCACCAGGCCCAGAGTCTTTTCGGCCTCACAGATACAGTCCCTGACAACACGGAGCTCAGATTCCAGAAGAAAAGTGGACGATGATGGAACACATACATAAGCACGGCAACTCCCGAGGGCAGTAAGTGACCGGAAGGAAGGAAAAGTCTGAGTTTACTGGAGCCTGGGGGCCACTGGTGAGCGGATGGTCACGAATCCCCACGTGACGATGCAGATTAGTTGAAGCTGTTATGGAAGATGAATGGCGCTCCCAACCTTGGTTGTTTCTAGTTAAAGACAAAGCTTCCAAGCTGTGATTCCCTCCTCTCTGGTAAAGTTGCTCAAGGACACAAACAGGCCCTGCATGCTGATGTCCCCAGGCTCGCACCTGTCCTGTCTGGTGACACACGTCCTGACAGGGCACGCTCAGGCATGTTCTCCTCGCTGCTGTGGCCCCAACCCCGGGCACAGTGTGGGCACTGAACACTCAGTGAACACTCGCGGGCTGAATGGATACAGCAACACCTGAACCTGAGCTCTCCTCCTCCTCCTCCTCCCCCGTGCTCTAACTTAGCAAGTGCGGACCACAGCCCTCTCCGACCGGAAGCAGGTGTTGGCACGGACTCGTCCTCCTCCACCCAAGCCAGTCACTGCACCTTGCTGATTCCCATCCTGCACTTGGGCACGCGTGTTTCTGTGCTCCTGTGTCCTTTCTGTCTCTAGTCATCCCCGTGGCGGAGTGTCCCACACTTCAGCCAGATGGAGCCACGCATGAGGAACTGCAAAGCCCTCCTCCGTGAGACACCCGCAGCTGCCCACACCACCCTCACCTCTCCCTGCTCGTTCCTCGCCCCTTTCCCTTGCAACCCAAACCAGGTCGTCCTCAGCCACCACATGGTGTGACTCATTGGTGCTCAGTAGGCGTAAAGCTGATCACCGGGCAGCCGGGAAACGAGCCCACTGTGTGCCCATCCCTGAGTGAGGCCGGGCCGGTAAAAGAAGTCACGAGGCAAGTGCGGTGCTTCCCCTTCCAGTGGAGCCTCTTGCGGCGAACCTGGGTCCACTCGCCAACACTGGGCCAGAACGGTGGGCTGTAAAGCACCCGCCCTTGCCAGCACAGGGCAGTAGGGGCACCAGGGGCTTGGACACGACAGGACGTGGACCCCCTACAAGCAGCTCCATGGACAAACGGGGTTCCGCAAAGCTGGAAAGCACAGGCAGGAGGGGAAGGCTGGCGCCAGCTGCCTGTCTAGAGAGGTAAGAATGTGGCTGTACTATGGATTTTCTTTTTTGCAAGCAACTTGCCTGGCTACCCCTCAACCCCCAGCTGCTTTCTCGTGCAGCAGCAGCTACTGCCCACCACACCACGCAATCACCCCTCACCGCGGCCAGGCAGCTCAGCGGTCTCCGCCATGAAGCCCGGAGGGAGCCCAGGCGCACCCCGCTCAGGACCGGGAGCCAGGAGGTGCTGGTGGCCGGGGAGGAGGAGCGCCCTCCTGTGTTGGAGAACAACGCAATTACCCATCAGCAGGCGCTTTGCATCAGGGAAGACTGATTTATCCCTCTGCTGTGTTGTTGCCACAGAAGCAGGGCTTAGCCTTTCAAGTGATGATTATAAAGCTACCCAATTCATTTAAAATTAGGCTACGAGCATCTCGGTACTTAATGCCCAATGTCTCCGTCGGAGCTCCTGCAGCCATCGATCTGCCTGTGGCGGCGGAAGACTTGTCTGGCAGCAATCTAGTTTGCTTTATTTTAAAACATTAACTTCATAAGGAGGTATAACTGTGAAAGATCACGAGCATATTAATAAATACCTTTTAATTAATGAACAGCACTGACTTTGTCAACACAGGAACGCTGGGGCAGGCAAGACACACACACATTCCATTAAACTAATTTATTGTGTTCTTCCAGGACGGATGTAAAGAGCATCTTGGGAGTTGATATCACAACACAACGTTATACACCATTTCACCACTAACCTTGCGCTGAATTCTTTTTAAAAGAACATAGTAATTTTTAAAAATCTAAATATTTACATATTAATAAAACATATATACAGAAGATTGAGATGTTATCCATAGATATGGAATTTTATTTTTGCTAAGAAAGCCTATAAAAAGGATTTCTGAACAAAGTCTGAACAGTAGTCACAGTAAGTTAACACAAATATAATTTGAATTTACAAAGTATGATTTTATGGTTGCAGTTTTGCTATGCATTTCCAATTAGGGAATCCATTGCACACATCGAGAGTTGAACAGCCCCTACCCCTGCTCAAGCGCTGAAAACTCCAAGCCACACCCAGCCTCGACAGGAAGTGCTTCTGAAGCCTCCTGGTGCATATCTAAGAGACCTGCAGTTGTGCGTAGATGTTTCTACCTTCCCTAGCAACATATTCATCAAAGCTTAGCAGAGTGAAAGGTCACTAATTAATCTTTTCTATTCCCTTGAGGAATATTTCAATCTGGAAGGCAGAAGACAAATTTTTGAGCATATGCTGCAGAAAAACAAAAACCCTGGTTTGTACATAGCAGTTGATCACACCACTTGCTAAAGCAAGGGACTGGTTTCAGGAAAAGGATTACTTACTGGCTGGAAATGGAAAAGGCTACTCAAAAGGTACGATGGAAATAATTTCTCTGAACCTTGCTTACAGCTTTAAAAAGAAGAAAAAGGAAAGACACACAGACATGAGCTGTAACTGTCTGGAGTGAGACTGATTCCATAAGCCACAGGCAGACCAGTCTCCTGTCACATTGTGGGGACGTGGTGCATCTTCAGTTATTAGCTGGTCTTCATGCCACAGCGATGGCACCACAGTACCTTGACAGGGTGGGCAGGACAGCCTGGCCCTGTGCCCAGTGTGCACGGAAGGGCCACCTGACGCTGGGCAGCTCTCACCTTCACCCCTCAGTCTCTCACAGAGCCCTGAAGGGCGTGCCTGCTCCAACAGGCTGAGGAGATGAGTGCGGGGCGAAGGGTTACACTGTCGGCATGGCAATGCTGAACCCTGCTTTGGGGGTCTACGGTCAAATTTCTTTCCTGCCAGTTTTTGGTCTTTAGGTAAAGTGCCAACATTCAGGGCAATTTGCTTTATATAATAAATGAGGTAACGATGCAGTATTTCTAAGCGGTACTATTTTATGAAACCTAGAGGTAAATACATGTGCAAAACAAACAGCCACATGGCAAGATATGTCTGAAATCAATCCAGCCTTTCTCGTGTTGGTTATAGAAAGTGGAGGGCAGGTGTGCCAGGAGCCAAGAAACGAGAACATGAAGCAGGTACTCTGCGGCAGCTCACCTTACAACATCAAAACCTGGACCCCGCGGATAGGTAAAACCTTCTGTTGACTGGTCGTTAGCTATCCAGCTGGTAACTATTACTCCGAGCCTTTCACCTCTGAGCAAGTTGTTTTGTCATTGGGCCAATGCAACTTACGAGAAAGGTTCTTCCTTCCTATGAATTCGTACATCGTTTGCACTACCTGCTCCGTTACAATGGCTATTTCTGGGGGCACTGACATTATAAATGATTTTGTCTAAAAGGTCAGAGCTGCCCTGTCTCCTCAAACAACTTTTTCCTCTGTGCTGAAGAACGTCTAGCTCACGTGGGCTTTCTCAAACACCCTCCGTCCTGGAAAGAGCCGTGCTTCTCTATATGAGCTAACACATTTACTTTAAAATAAATATGCTCCCAAACTCTGCACTGAGGTTACAAATGAATAGAAAAGGGGGAAATGGCTTCTTTGCGCTGGACAATCAGCTAACTAGATCACACACTGGACTTTTCAAGGGCAACAAATCAACTTTTAAAAAAATGATTTTTAAAAGTCTTATACTAAATCGGAGGCTCGATTATCACACAATACAAAGAAGGCGTATGGAACTATTCAGACTTCACACAACACCCGTGCTTTGCTTGGATCCAAAATGCCCCCTGGATCTCTGAAGCAGTTCAAAGGCAAGAGTTACATATGCTAATGACAAAGGTCACTAAAACCCAAGTCTGGGCAATAGAACCTGGGTTCTGCATCCCCTGTGCTTCTCTGCTGGTGTCAAATGTACAACCTACAACAGAGACAGGACAATGAGGGGGCGGCACATCCGAGGAAGAGCTGGGTGTCTGGGATAAGTGGGGGCTCTCGGGAAGGGCCAGCACTGCAGTTAGGCTGGCACGTCTCAGCTGAGGGTAAGTGGTGCTAAGTGGCCGGTCTTAGGGACTGGGAACAAAGCCGGTGGACGTGTGCCCCTGCTGAGGATGCCCTACATTGCCCATGATAGAAGAGGGCTAAGGAGGGCTAACCTGTTCAACAGAGCACCGAGCCACAGATGACGCGTACAGAGGCTGGTAATAAAAAGGGGAAATGCTTCTCGTGAAAAAGTCCCCGAAATTCAGGAAACTAATTGTACATATAGGCTCTCCATTACCTCAGTAAACAAATACATATACAGAAAAGTCTGGGGAAAACACCCAACAATGGTCATCTCTGAGTGGTAACTTTAAATTTTCTTCCCAAAACTTTTTTTTTTAAAGTGTGTAAAAGAATGCCAATCTGTGATGCAAACTGCTGAACCCCAATGAACATCAGCCCACTATTTTGAATTCAGAAGCCCCATTTTACACGTCAGAAAGCACTGTTCAGATGTTAACTGCCCTGGGCTCCTTTCAACCGCCCACTGTTCCCACACTCTCGGAGGGTTTTCCTCCCTGGCCCTTGCTCTCCACATCTGTGCCAGAGCCGCGAAGGAGGTGTCCCCACCTCCCCCAGTCCAGGGGGGCAGGCATGTGTGTGCTGAGCCCAGCCCGGGGCCGACTCCTGGTGGGCATTCGAAAGACTCCACCAGCAGCGCCGAACGGGAATAAATTAAGAAAACACATTTTCCCACCACGGAATCTGAGTCTGTTTTTGTTAAAACTAGACAAACAGGCGCTTAAATGCAGCTGGCCCAGACAAATATCATTCGACCACTGACTGTGATCGTCTGAATCTCAGAAATAGTCAAGGGCTTCCAGCTCTTCCCTGCCTCTCCCCAACACACGCAAAACTGGAAGAGAAAAGGGCCTGAAAATGGTAATAGAGGTACTGATGAACCTCGCAGAGGACCACAGTGGCGGGCTCAGACGGGGACAGTGAGGGTCGCGTCAGGGCCCACGGGGAAGCAGGAAGCCCAGGTTCAAGCCAAGCAGTCCGGGGTTTCACTGTAGGGGCGTGACCACAAGGCGCGTGAGGCGGTGAAGGCTGGCGCACTTTATCACTGCCAAACTTCGGCGTGAGCTTGTGACTTCTTTCTCCCTTTTCTGAAGTGATGAACATTTTACGATCATGCTGTACAGTGATTTCATTAAACACCTATCAGTAGTCTAGTGAGAAGACCTGTGGATGTGTTCTACCACTTCCTTAACTACAACCTCACAGTTCGGGGCAAAATCTGAGACAGGACTTGAGCCAGAGCTTAACCTGCAGTGGCCTTTGGGTACGCCGATGCCCACATCCAGTGCCTGTGGAGACGGAGACACCGGGATGGGCGGGATGGGGCCCTGGGGAGAGCACAGCCATCCTCTCCGAGCAGAGCAGCGGTAAGGAGCATGCAGAGGGAGGCCGGCTTGGGCTTGGGCGTGAGAGCGCCACAGCTCCACAGCTCTGCGCACAGCGGCTGGGGTCCAGGGGCCGGGCCGGGCCGTCAAACAGCTGAGACCTTGGCACAGTCACTTAATGGTTCTGGGCCTCAGGCTTTTTTCCTGTAAAATAAAAGGACGGATAAAATGAAGGGGTCGGGTTAGACGATCTCTCAAGTTCCTTCTCATTCTCAGATCCCTGGACAGTGTGCTCAGTTCCACGAGGCTGTGCTAGCCCCCCCTGCGCTCAGCTTTCTCGTCTGAAACATCTCTGGAGGCAGAGTCAAACGCAGTCGGTTAGAGGCAAAGGGATTACTCCAAGGGGTGTGGTTTTCGAACAATGACCCCAAAGCCCTCTGCGTCACAGGGCAGAGGAGACAGGTGCTGTCGATCCCAGGGGGCTGAGGTGGGCACCCTGGGAGGCACGGCCAGAAAGCGCCTGCTCCTCCCAGGCCCTCGGAGACAGTTTCATTTTTACCACTAGTGTTTCCTGCACCTACAGGGATCGGGTGGAGTGATGATACTCACACGAGGGTGGACGGGGAAGGGACAACAGAGGTCACACACTTCAATTCTCCTAATTCAGCGTGAAAACAGCCCAACAAGAAGAGAAGTCCCCCTTATACCATGACTCATACACACAGGTCCTTTCTGCACTACGTGGCCGATTTCATTTATTTGTCCGTCGATCTGTTGCTTAGCTACACTCTACAGAGAAAGCGATGGATCACTGACACAACCGGGCTTCTTCTGCTGTGAGGTTCCCTCGTGCGTGCCCATGGACCCCTGTGGACTCTGCCTGGAGCCCACTTGGGGTATGCGCTGCCAGCGAGCTCGTGACCACCAGGAACTTCGCTAAGAGTTCTGCCCCACACCAGATGCTCCTACACTGCTGAATTTAATTAAAATCTTATCACCCTAAATCTACAGGGAAAACCACTCAGTTGAGCTTTCTCAGTCAGAGGTTTTTTGGGGTGCCTCAATTCCGCGGACAGAATCTTCAGGTGCTCTTCAGGGCGGTCCCTAAAGAGTGCAGAGACCGAGAGGGGGAGAGGGGAGCAGACTGACACGTGGCTCCGTGATCAGCCCCGCCCCTGGCTCTCGGGTGTGAACTGGAAAGCGGGCAGGAGGCAGGAGCGGGGGTTTGAGCCACAGTGTGCAGCCAGCTCTGCAACACCGTGCTGCGTGTAGCTGACCGGGTTAGGACCAGGAGCGGCACTACGCTGGACGGACCGGTTTATTCCACCACCCGAGGAACCTCGGCAGGCACGGGGTGCAGTGCTGTGAAGGGCAGGGGCGGAGCGTTCTCACAGGCCTTCTGAGGAGGTGGGAGAAGGCAGAAGAGACATGAATTTGGTCACATACAATTGGTGATCTCTGTTCTAAAGTGAAATAAGTCTCACTTCATTTCACGTTAAAAAATGTGTTTTTAATGCCTAAAGGCTGGAGAGGCAAACTGTTGTGATACTACGTTCTCAGGACTGACATTTCTGGGATTTATGAATATGACACTGTGAGGAAAATGTAGCTTTCACGCTCTCATACTCGATGTGAGAACATCTCTGAAGCCTGGGTCTTGGGAGGCTCTCACCCACTAGCCTGGGCCTGCTCTGGAAGCAAGCTGCTCAGGCTCCTGCCTCTCTAACGTTAAAAGCATTTCCAATGCAAATATTTTCACGTGCTGTATTTCTTAGCAGGTGACGAGAATGTAAATGTGTTTTACCTGTCGGTGGCAGAGAAACGCTGTCCAGTCTGTCATCACCGTCCACTACCTCTGCTGGTCACAAACAGAGCACAAACTTCATTAGTCTCGGAGCGCATTCACTCCACTGAGTACAGCAGTACACGTAAAACATCCTCAGTGCACGTGGTGCTTTTCACTTCTCTTCCCTTTCAGAGACAGCTGACTCACAGGATAGATTTTAGCATCATTATTTACACAAATTATTTGATGGTGACAATAACATGGATTAGCTTTCTTGTATTAAGAATTTTAAAAAGTCCTCCAAACCGTATTTCAGTTCACTTATTTACATGGGCATAAGCATCCAACAAGCATCTGAGACAGACTGCCTAAGCATGTCATTAAACGTGCTCAAGACAGCAAATTCCTGTTGTAGCACTGTAATCATCACCTGCGGAGCCACTCCTGGTGGGAAGGCTCCGGAAAATCAGAGCAGGAACCTTTCTTGGGAGATGCCTGGAAATCCAGCTCCTTGAGCTGCCCATCTAACTCAGATATGCATTCGGTCATGAAGAAAAATCATAAAGAAGAGTTATGTATTTCTTCTAGAACGCATTTCCTTCTGTGATTTAAAATGCAAACCTTGCTGATAGGTGTGCCAGTCTCCTTAGGAGTTTTGCGAAAGCAGATCCTTCAGTCATAAAACCTCCACTAAATGCAAAGAGAAGGGTCCCATTCATCTCCTGAACTGAAGGCCTTGCTGGTCTCCCCTAATGTGCTAGGAAAACATTTCCCTGGGGCTGGAGCGCTTTCGGTGGTTCCCTCTAGGTCCCAGGCTTAGGCACCCCCTGCAAGTTGCCTGCTGTCTGTGCACATGAATGCCACCGGAGGTGGGCCTTCATTAACGTCATGCTGTAGTACAGGGTTGGTGGAAAGCAAACCCCACATTACGTTCTCTTCTCCTATTGTTCTATTGTTTTTGCTTTAAACATGGTGTTTAGACACAGCAGAAGTGGTCCAAGATTTCCACAAGGGAAGTGAGACAGGAGGAGCAGGAAACTTGCTCCAGGTTTGAGTGACAGGGCCAGCAACTGCAATCAGGTGAGTCTGGCCTCTTCAATCTCTTCGCTATCAGTAGCCCAAACATATCACAGACATATCAGGAGCAAAGTGTTTTAAATCTTCAAGTTTCAGTTCATTTTATAGTCCAGTAACTTTACGTGCATAATTGAGTTTCAGTTAGTTGCAGCAAGAATCTGTTTAGAGTATACATTGGTCTTCCCACCGTAATTCAGCTATCCTAGAGGCCTGTGCAGTTATATGCTTTCATCAGAACAGAACATGTGCCACTAAAATTACATGTGTGTTAGTACACGTGAGCCTGCTGATGATAGCTGCATGGGTGAAGGCTAACACTCTTACTTACACTTGATTATAACATCTGTCTGCTGCAAGTTCACCATCTTTCTTCCCGCCTGACAATCAAGTTGGAAAATTTGGTAAAGACTGAGCAAGTCCAATAAAAATTTAATAGCAGTGACAGGTTTACTCTTGGATCTAACACAAATAATAAATTATAATTTTAGCTCCGAGGAAGTAATCTAATGAAAATGATAAAAATCCACACCAAGAAAGGAATCATTCCAGTTACAGAAAAACTTATTACACGTGATGAGAGCCCCAAATGAATTTCTATTTGGATTTGCATAACAGCCTTTCAGATAGGTGGGGGGGTGCTTCTTTTTTTAAGAGGCAGTGCTGCCTTCCCCACGTGGTTAGTTGATTAGCTTGCCCAGGCAGAGTCTGTACCTAATTCCAGGAATTGAACCAAATATTGTAAATAAGGCTGAAGTTGAGGAATAGATATGAGACACTGTTTGTATTATCATTTAGATAGAAAACAATCAGGGCAAAAAGCATGAAAATGAGTAACATTATTGATCGGCTCTTGGTCCCTTGCAGTAAATGCAAGTAGCCCTAGCTTGATGTGTGCATGAGCTGAAGCAGAACAGGGTTTCACATGCTAGGAGACAAGCTCTGTTTGGCAGGCATGTCCAATGCGCGATCGTTACGGGCTGTGAATCGGCGCTGCTTTGTCCGATAACCACCTTCCACTTCTCTGTGGCTAACACAGCCTGCTCAGAACACACCACATACGTGAAGGTGGATCATCTAAATCCGGGGACCACAAGTTGAAAGTTCAAACATCCTAACGATCACAGAGCAAGCGTGAACAATCTCTTGAGCTTCTAAGGGGCAGGCTCCTGAGGAAGGGCAGGCTATGGACTGGTCTCATTCTGGAGAAAGAGGTGAAGGCAGGGAGACACATGCGTCCGAGATGTGTTGTGACAGACATGCCGTGGTTGCTGAGAACTTCGTTCACTGGCCAGTGTGTGGGAAGGAGGGACTGTGGAGCTGCGTCCCCTGCTGTGGGCAGGTGTGCTTGCTGGTGGGAGGTGGGGAGGGAAGAGAGCCCAGGATCGATCACTGGCCTGGGCGTCCGACAACACAAGGGAAAAAGCTCTGCTTACGGTATGGCCTGCGTAGCGTGGTGAAGGTACCAGAAGAGTGAAATGTAAACCAAATTTTCTACTTCACCCTGGGGTGAGCAAGACTATTTCTGTCCCTGGGAATACCCCTCTCCGACTACTTTCAAGGCCCCTCCACCCCCAGTACTGGAGATTGAATGCAGAAAGTGCTGAGCTGTATCTCCAACCCTTTTCATTTTAAGACAGGGTCTTGCTAAATTGCCCAGGCTGGCCTCAGACTTGCAATTTCCTGCCTCAGCTTCCTGAGTAGGTGGGATTTCAGCTCTACACTAGCATAGCCAGCTTGAAGGTTTCTCTTAATACTTGAAGTGTTCAGGTCCATTGGGGACTTTTAATCACTCTTCTCAGCAGGAGGCACAGGCTCCAGAGGGAGCAAAAAGCCCTCTTACTCCTTTTCCAGGTGGTCTCTGTAGCACTTCAGTTAGTAACATCAACTGTCCAGGCTTCTACAGTTCCTTTCCCTCAGGCTCCCTGCAAGCTTTGAGTATTTCTCACATTTCCCCATTTGCCAGTTAGCTTTTTGTCACTTTGACAAATATCTGAGACAAACAACCCGAAGGAGGAACGCTTTCTTTTGGCTCGTAGTTTCAGAGGTTTCAGTCCATGGTCAGTTGGGCCTGTTGCTTCTAGGATTGTGGTAAGGCAGAAACATCATGGTGGGAGGGCATGGTGGAGGAGAGCTGCTCACCTCATGACAGCCAGGAAGCAGAGAGAGAGAGGTAGAAAGCCAGAGAGGAAGGGGCTGGTTACAGGGTATAGTATTCAAGGTCACACTCCCATGATTCACTCCCTGCAACTTGGCCCCAACTCCTAAATTTCCAGTAATGCCATCAAATTATAGTCTTACCAATGGATTGATCCACCCATTAGGTTGGAGCCGCCATGATCCAATCACTTTCTGGAAGTCCCACCTCTGAACACCTGCGACTTTTGGGGGTACTTTTGATCTAAACCAGAACAAGCCATCAGCTCTAACGGAGCAGCCATGTGTAGCAGGACTGCCTCAGCCTAGCTCAAAGTCAGTGGCACAACTTCACTGCTGGTGTTTGTTAGTGTTTCCAACAAAGTCAGAACCAAAATGCTGGCTCTTGGGTATGTTAGCCCTTTCTGTTTCTTTTGGGAAATATTAAATTTAGGTTTCTTCACTGTGACACACTTTAGATTTCTCTCAAACCTGAATATTATACTTAGTGTCTTTGAATGTAGGGGGTCAATAATTTCCCCCTGCAAATCACATGGGGAAATGTGAGAAATACTTGAAACTTGCAGGGAGCCTGAGAGAAGGAACTGGAGAAGCCCAGGCAATTGATGTTACTACCTGAAGTGCTACAGAGACCACCAAGAAAGGAAGAGGGCTTTGGGCTTTGCAGCACGCACCTCCTGATGAGGAGCCTGATTAAAATCCCCAATGGACCTGAACAATTCAAGTTTTAAGAGAAACCTTCAGGCTCACGGTGGTGCATGCCTATATTCCGAGCTACTCAAGAGTCTGAGGCAAGAGGACTGACGTTTGAGGCCAGCCTGGGCCATGTAGCAGGACCCTGTCTCAAAATGAAAATCACACAGGCTTGGAGAAGTAGCTCCACACTCTGATTCAATCCATGTAAACGGAGGTTCTTGTATACTCAAATGGTCGAGATGCCCAACACGGCATCCAGGAAATCCAGGCCAACTTAGCACTTGCACAGATATCACTCAGGCTTAAGTCTGAAATCTGACTTGGTGTAACACCAAGGAGATGCAAGCAGCGCATGACATCAGTCCTTACAGGGAATGCCAGTCCAGCTTCCTGTCCTGCACGTGCAAAGATTTTCTCTTTCTTCCAAGAGGCTGGAGGCTGGCAGAGAGGGCTAAGCAATACAAGGGTTCTTTTGCACTGTGTACGGCAGAAGCAGGGGCCTTTAGGCACTGAGGAATACTGGTAAGAGTCCTGCTAGGGGAGGGCACTCTTCCCAGGTGTTTTCTAATTAATTTACTCTGAGTGAGGTCAGACCACTATGACAAGAGACTCCAAACAAGAAAGAAACTAGGAAGGAAGTGTAACAGCACTAAGGTGAGAGGGCAGAGAAGGCAATGAGAGAAAGGCATGAGGAGCAGGAAGGAAGGCGGCTCTGGGGTGGCCATGAGCTGCCACCATGGGTCCTGAGGACAGACCTCAGGAGACTCGGACTAGGCAAACGAGGTCTTCTTGTTGTGGACTGCTACCTCTTCCTTTCTGAAATTATCGACGGTTTTATTGATTCATTCAACAAACATTTCTTGAGAGTCAGCCCTGTCTCGTACACTGTGTGTCACTTGGAACTCAAACATGGCTCAGGCACAGTCCCTGCCCTCAAGACCTCATGGTCCACTACAGCAGGCAGCAATACACCCCTTCGGGTGGCAGAAGATCCGAGTGCTGCAGCCTCCCATGAAGGCTCCAGAAGGGAAGCTTTACGGAAGATGGAGCATTTCCCAGGCTGAGGGAATGCATGGGCTTGTGAGACCAGCCTGTCCTGGGGGCGAGGAGAGGCCTGAGGCCCGTGATAGGAGACCAGGCTGGGGATAAGGCAAGGATGGCTGGGACAGCCCCGTGTGGAAAGGGCCCGCTGCAGATTGGCCTCCAGACTCCAGCTTTACTTGCATACATCGGCGATGGACAGTGTGATGCTCTGCGCCCTGCATCGTCGTGGAAGGCTAAACTGAGCTAAGTAACACACCACCATGACCTCACATACTCTGTGGTGAGAACAAGACCTACTCTTAATTTTCAAGTGTGAGAGTATTATTAACAATTAATACTGCCAGCTACCACGTCACACAGGAGCTCAGCCCTCCTAACTGTAAGTTCTGGATTCCTTGACCAGCACCTTCCCAGGGTGACTCAGCCTGGGGCCAGCTCTCTGCGGCTGTGAGTTCTACACAGTGACAGCGAGTGGCATTCGTCTTCCGGGGCCTGCCTACACTACTCAGCATGCCATTCTCCAAGTTTACCCATGTTTTCGTCATACACTCCTCTGCTGGGGCACCGATGGCAATTCCTTTTCTCAGCTATTGGGAAAATGCCTCACTGAACACAGAAGTGCAAACATCTCTTCAATACCCCAAATTTGCTGTTTTTAGATATAGTCCTATTAGTGAGTTTGCCAGTTCTATTTTTAATGTTTTGAGGAGCCTCCATACTGTTTTGCATAACAGATATACTGATTTACATGAAATTTAGAAATAATACCTACAGTAGATTTGTGACCTCCCAGAGACAATAATTCTTGTAGCACAGGAGAAAATTGTACTCGGAGGGTAAACTGGACCCTGCGACTTCAAACGACCAAATCTAAAGAGCAACAACCCAACTGGTGCTCACTTTTCCTGGAAGAATAGTTCCCAGATCATCAAGCTCAGATTTTACACACACACACACACACACACACACACACAGGCGCGACTTAAAATTCTTCCTGCTTGATGTGGTATTTCTGGTAGGATGATTTTTGCTATGTTTTTTTACCTTAAGAAATTAGGACTTTTATAAATTAATTCAGATACTAACAAACAAAAATCAATAAGCAAACAGAAGCAAACCACAAAGGAGAGCCCAGTTTTGTACATGAGACACATTCGACCACAGGTGCAATCAGTAATCTTTTCCACTTGTGCTACTGAAAGCAAATGGCCTGACATAATTTTTACTATTTAATCTTAAGGTGAGTTTCAAAGATCACTTGAATAAGTCCTTAAAATAGCCAACCAGAGAACACTACAGTATGTATAGCATCTCCTTCAAAAGACAAAGGACACTGTAGTACCCCAGAGCAAAGCACTGTGCACATAAAGGCTGAGAATTCAATAAAGTACTTCTGCAATTACCTTCTTACAACTTACTCATACCTGAGCCTCTTTTCAACCTTCTTCTGGCCAGTTTAATTTGATCCTGTAGAATCTGTACCCAGTCTCTTGGGCCAGGAAGCTTATCCACATGGTTAGCAGTACAGTACTTTTCTGTGAAGACTGAAAGGAAATGTGGAATACCGTTAAACACTTCAGCAAGTAAAGTGTGCAGATCTTACATAGGAATATAGCCCAAGAAAACAACAAAAGTTTCTTTGTTGCTTGCTTTCTTTTTTGGTGGTGATGGGAACTGAACCCAGGGACTTACATGTGCTCTACCACCGAGCTCCATCCCCCGGCCCCAAAGTCTGTCTCTGTAGTGTCTTCCATGTCTGCACTCGGTTCCTCCAGTGATGGCGGGGATCAGCAGGGCAATGGCTACAGACAACGAACTGTGTTTCAAAATGGAACTGGCTAGAAACACTAAGCACTCAGCACAGAAGCTGCCCTACTTGTTCTGTACCTGTGTGTCAGGTAGGAAAGGAAATGCCTCCTATGAATCTACTGGCTCACGACAGAGTTCAGCAAATGTATTAAAAGACTTCACTTTTTTGTTGCCAATTCAAAATCAAATGCAAAATTACACAAAAGATGCTGCTCTCATGGCGATTCCTGCTAATTCAATCAGTTCTCAAAATAAATAATGTAGTATGTCTTAATGAAATCGCAAGACACAGTCTAGATAGAAATTCCACTTTTACTTCAAGTCAACTCCTTGCATATGGTATTAGCTCCAAGAAAGAGCTACCCTACTAAACACAAAGAAATCAAGGAGAATCACATGGCAGGGCAAAGGGTAGGCAGGACAAAGATCTCAGGAAAGCACGCACAGTGTGTGACTACCCGTGAGGTGCTGGTGGTGACGTTTCTGCCTCGAACTCCACTCCCGAGCACTTTTAAACTCGTCTTTCCAACCTGTTCTCCATAAGGTCACATGTGGTCTGCAGTCACATCATACTGCCTTCTTGGTATTTAAAATATCAGTAATTTTAATGTTTTAAAAGGTTTCTTTTAAAAAGAAATGACAAAGGAAAATATCGACAGATTTAACTATATAAAAATTGAAATTTCCACTGAATGAAAAATAAACATTTCAATAGGACAAAAGCTAGCTGCACTAAAATGGACTGAAAATGCTCAATATATATCACCAAAAAGAGTACACTGAAATAAAAAAGCAACCTCAAAAGTCTGCACAGCTAAATGAACAGAATATATATTCAGCATAAAATATCAGGAAGAATGCTCAACTAATACGTAAGTCAATGAACTTCAAAAGACTTTATACCTACTCAATTAGAAAAACAATTTTAAAAAACCTTCTATGTGATATTGATAAAATTGTGGAAATCTGCCAGAGTCAAACATTACTGATGACATAAACTGGAAAGTCCTTTGGGGAAATATTAGTAAGATACTATATAAAACTGTTAATACTTGTGGACTGGTGATATTACTCCTAGAAATTTATCTTAAGGAAATAATTTGAAAGAAGAAAAAAGCCATACATGTGATCTCACTGTGGGCAACCCAATGGTGTGGGAAGAGCTAATGATGGCAGAGCCATGGAAAGGATGAACCTGCGGGGAGGGGCCGGGGCAGCGGGGCAGAGGTCCCTTCAAAAAGCCACTCCAGTTGTCCCAGCTGAATCCGCAGAGAGAGCTAAAAACAATGGTGAAACCCATTCACCAGAGAAACACACTAAGCAGGAAGAGCAGGGGCAGGCACAGAGCCACAGGGAACAAAGGGCAAGGAGGTGAGGCAGAGCAGCCGAGAGAGGTCCAGGGCACCCGGAGGAGGGCTCTTAAGAGCTGCCCCAGCCCTTCCACAGAGAGGGACCGGCAGGCAGCTTTACGTGAAGAGTGGGGCAGGCAGGGAGGTGTGGCAAGTGTTTGCTGAAGACCACTGAGGGGCAGAGCGAGCAAGCACAGAATAAGCTCGCAACACCTGCCCAGAGGGGAGGGTGGGGAGGAGCCTTGAGCACAGTTTGCCGGATGGAGCAGCCAATGACGGGCGGATACGGGACCGGAGAAGATGGAAGGGGCCCTTCAAGGAGCAGTCCTGAAGGAGCCGGCTGTGGGGATCCAGGACAGAAAGGGGCCCGCTGCCCTGGATGGGGAAACACCCGCTGCTGAAGCCCGGGCCAATCTGCAAGTGGCTCTCGAGGCTCAGTGAACTCCATGGCGAGATGTCATGAGGAAGGAGAACACGGGAACTTCTGGAATTGTCTGAGGGGAAGAAGAAAGGCAGCAGGCTCAGGACAGGCAGCAAGATTACCAGGCAGCAGATGGCCAACACAGTCTACACAGGCAGGGAGTGGTCTCCCTGCGGGCCTTGGACACCCAGGACACTGGATGGAGGGCAGACCAAGGTCAGCAGAACGGGGGTACAAACCGCTGGAGATTCGGGGGAAGGGGTTGTCCGGAGTGAATTCCTCACCTTTCCACTTTCCCCTCAATTGGGGAAGAAAATGAGGCCAGAAACGGGTCCCAGCTTTGGGGGTTCACAGAGACCAGGAAACCACGCTATCAAGGGGTGGGCAGGCAGAGGTTAGGGAAGGGCAGAGCATCCAGAACATCCCCACAGGTGCAGTGGAGGGGCCGTATGGCAGCAGGCGAAGGTGCGGCCCGTGGTGTGCGCAGAAACACAGAAGCGGCGAGTGGCACCACAGATGAGGTCCAGCACATGCGGCCAGGGCTTAGATAGACCTTTGGGTGGACAGCGAAGCTATGCAGGATGACAGCAGGTCCTGGGAACGGGAGGTGAGAGCCTCAAGACAAAGGCTCACTGATGCCCCTGCCCCAGTAGAGGAGTCGCGAACACCACACCGTGCAGGCTGCCCTCCGAAGGTTCCGACGGATGGACAGACAGGAGAACCAGCGCCTCCGCCTGAGACGGAGCTCCCCACGATGGGAGAGGTTCACTTTCAGATCACCCACACCAGGTTACACATGACACTGGGGCCTTCATTTCTTCGTCTCCCTCCCTCCCTCCCTAGCATCGTGCCTTGTATGAATAGAAACTCAAGAAATATGTGATGCATAACCCTATTTCCCAGTTCTGTTTCTAATGGAAGCAAAGCAGGAGCTCACACACTGAGACAGACGATCAGGGGAGAACGGCCCTTCTGAATTCGTAGGAGTCTTGCTTGGTAGAATATATTTAAACAGAATATATTTCATTACACCCAAATGCCCACAGTAACACTAACTGGAGAACTGTCAAAAAGCCTTGATGTTCTGTTTTAATAAAAAATATATTCATACTAGAACCCTTTTCAATTATATGAAAATGTGTACTACAAAAACGACTCAATGTACTGTCTCGGCAGGTAAATATCTTCCCACTTGTAAGATTATTTACACAATTAATTCCCATAGCAACCTCTCTTTTCTTAAGATTGTGAAATGCATGTGTACAAATTATCTCGCGTTAGAAAGTAGGTGTTGCAAAATAGCAAAGTCGATATGGGCTGTGGCAACCTCACAATGACTCTCATGTGTCCACAGCGAAGCTTGGGGGAACTGAGGAGAGGCTGCGGAAGGTTTTCTCCAACTCCAAGAGGGGATGAAGGTCAGACTTTATCAGTCTAACCTTGAGCTCAAGTATTCTGTCACTCACTCGAAAGGCAACTGCTTCCGCTCATTTTTTTCTCCTTTCGTTAAATCTTCTCTGGTTTCAACAGAAGGAAGCCAGGAAAACTGTCTCCTGGGTCTGTGACTGAGACCTTTGAAGGCACATCCCCAGGCTTTTTGAAAAATACCTACACAAATCAATGTTTCTACCGGGTACATTATTGACATTCTGGTTCATGGATTACATCCAGCTTAAAAGAGACTTTTAACTAGAATTTATCTACTGAAGATGAAATTTTATTTTCTCCATTACAATCGCAGATGAGGCCCTAGAACAAGGCCAAGAGTTTGTCATGGCATTGATGTGAAAACAGTCAATACGCTGTGTGAATAGAGGCATGGAGTAAGCAGAATATATTTTTCCTTTCTGAATCTATAGCTAAAGGTCAAGCTATTATCCTGGTAACAGTTCCATTAGGAGTAATGATGTGAAAAGAGGTATTGCACTAATGCACTGGGTTTCCTACTCTGTTAGTAGTGGGTCATTAAGAATCATAGTAGGATAATTTGCATTCATCCTTAGAATGCAATAGGTTCTAAAAAGAAATTTCCCTCCTTTCCTATTTTAATATATTAAGGAGAAGTGAGGGCTAATTTTAAATGAGTCCAAATAATCTGAACAAGTGGAATGAGGCCAACAACTAAACTAAATAGAAGAGTTTAAGCATCTACTCTGCTTAGTATTATGTGAGGTCCCAAGGCACAGGGAGACGTTAAGTCACCAAGGAAATGACCAATGCTCGAGTCGATCCACACACGAATAATGACGTTCCCAGATGCTTGCATTTGTCTGAACGATGTCCTTTAATTATTTATAAATAATGAATAAGCTTGTGGTGGCTGGGCAGATCCTTCCCTAGGAATGAAGCTTTTAATAATCATCAATGAACGTGGGGGGAGTGTCTGACATGCTGACTATGCCACCTGAGAACCTCGCAGACTGGCCATGGTCCTCAAGCGCTGTCTGTTGGAAGGACTTCTCATTAGGGTTTTTCTGGCTATCTGTGCTGGAAAAGCAGAGTAAAGACTTTTCAAGGATATCCTGTAATGCACACACGTTAAGGAGTAGGAGTAGGTTTGCAGAGCTTTAACTTCACTATGGAATCCTCTAGCAACTCTGACCTTAAAGGACAGCCCACCTTTGGATACCCTGGCTGAGGTGTAAAGTGTCACACAGGCAAGTGGGAAACAAGGTTTCTGTCAAGTGGAATGGAAATCTGCATTCCTCAGAAGACCTGCCAAATTCTGAGCACCTGAAGGGGTGAGGGGAAAGACTCTGCTGCAGGTTCTGGGTGCCAAGCAGGGTGACACAACTGGGGACCCCTTACGGATGGGGAGATGCACCAAAGCAAGGGGCACCTTGGGCCTCTGAGTGAAAAAGCTCACACCGTCCTCTCATCCTCCTCCCTCCTAATCTTAAAGCTAGTGTTTAAGCCACGTGTGGTGGGGCACACTTATAATCCCAATACTCTGGGAGACAGAGGC